TATTGAAATAAAATTTTGTGAGCATATGTAGGTTAATTTAGAACATTTTTTTTTAAATATAGACAGTTCTACATGGTGTCCACAAAAAAAGTTACACATCAAAGATGTGTTTTTTTGTAACGGAATACCCTAACATTAATTGATTTTCGGATTCTAGAAGAAAAATAAAGGTGATTTTATTAGAGAAGTATATGTCTAAAATGTAAGGTTTTTGACATATTTATCATTTTCTAAAAATGAAGAACAAATTTTAAATTTCAATAAAAGCCACCTAAATTGGAATTTGTCCGGTATAAACTAGTATGTAGTTAAAATAACTATTGTATTTTAAATTAAGTTAAAACTTGACCCAAAAAGTTATACAGGGTGAGAAAAAATTAATATTGAACATTAGTTACATTTAAAAGCAAGTTACTCTTTTATTTTAAATGGAACAACCAGTATATTATTCCGACATTCAATGTGAAATTCATGTCTCTTCAAAATACTATTAAGATTGATTTTCATATATTAAGGTTGATTTTCATATATATTTTTATTTTTGTGATTTTGCATCAGTAGATATTTATTATTTGATAAAATCTAGGCGGCCGGTGTTAATTTCACAAAAATGTTTGTTAATTGCACAAAAAATAAAGAATGTAGAATAAAATATTGAACGGTAATAAAAAGGTAAACTTTAAAACATATTGTAATTGTTACAGAATTAAAACTAGATATAAATGTATAATTATGTGACAAAAATTAGCTAGATGAAATTATATACTCAAAATACTTCCTTTAATGTTCACTGCATAAAATGATTCTCTTCATTTTTAGAAAATGTTAAATATGTCAAAAACCTTACATTTTAGTCATATACTTATCTAATAAAACTCACCTTTATTTTTTCCTAGAATCCGAAAATCAATTAAATCATAGGGTGTTCAATTACAAAAAACCCAACTTTGATGTGCAACTGTTTTTGGGGACACCCTGTAGAACTCCCTATATTTTAAAAAAATGCTCTAAATTAACCTACATATGCTTACAAAATTTCATTTCAATTCAAAATGTCGTTCTCCTTGGAGCCTCCGCGGCGTATGAGAGGCGCCACCCTGTATTTACTCGCAACTGGTAAAAATATAAACAAAAAAACACCTATATAACGTTTAAAATAAATGCACGAAAAACAATAAAAACAGCATATACAAATTTCCGATAGAAACACAAATATATTTTCAGAGCGTATTGATTGGATGATACTAAAATATTGAAAACAAAGCAAATGCATGGACATGATTTTGTAATTTGAGGGTGATATTGACGTCAATTTTATATTTATCTTTTTATTTATATTTAACTTACGAGCTAAAATATTCATAAAATGACACTGAGGATTTAGTATGTGTTTTTGAAATAAACATAGTTAAAAATGTATTGTTCTTCAACAAAAAAATTCGAAATAATGGATAGATTAGCTTATTGTTAGACTAGATATATGATCATTTCATTCTGAAATAAATATAAATAATACATGTATATTAATATATCATATAAGTAGGATAATATGTAAAACACTTTTTTTTTCAAATGTCACAAAAGTATTAATTTTTACCACGTGATTGACAATATAAAAAGTTATTTTTAAAGCATAGGCATAAAAGTAAAGCACTTTTACGCCTAAGCACAAAACTACGAAGATATATTATTAAACTGACATAAAGTGTAGACACGAGTAAACAACGAGCGTATAACGATAAGTAAAAAATATTATAGTTGTATTTTTTTAAATGAAACACCTTGTATATTATTCTATTTTTAGATTCTACGGTTGAAATAAAGGTAAATTTGTTTAAGGTTTATCACACTTAAACCTTACCGTTTTTGAAATATTTTCAATTTTATGAAATTGCAGTAAAAAAATTAAGGCTTTATTTCTCCAAGGGTATCAAAGTTTTTAATACTAAATATTTACTGAAGATTATTTATTGATCAGATATTGTGTTGCAATAATAAAAATTTTACTACCTTAGGCTTATTATCAACTAAAAACGATGCAATTGATTGTAGTAAATTCAATTTTTTTGTAGTACTAATAATTAGCCAGAAAAAGTAAACAATTGTGCGCAATGTAATAAAGAATAAAAATATTGTTTTAACAAATGTCTAAAATCTTCAAAATCGTTTGTAGTTTTATGTAGTAGCAAAAAACTCAACGAAAGTTTCTTGAAATTAGAGAATTATAGTAAAATTTGGAAATTAACATAGTTTGACTTATATGTTTATATAGTTTTGACTAATATTGTTTTAACAAATGTCTAAAATCTTCAAAATCGTTTGTAGTTTTATGTAGTAGCAAAAAACTCAACGAAAGTTTCTTGAAATTAGAGAATTATAGTAAAATTTGGAAATTAACATAGTTTGACTATATATGTCTTTAGTTGTATACAAACTACAAACGATGCAATTGATTGTAGTAAATTCAATTTTTTGTAGTACTAATAATTAGCCAGAAAAAGTAAACAATTGTGCGCAATGTAATAAATAATAAAAATATTGTTTTAACAAATGTCTAAAAATCTTCAAAATCGTTTGTAGTTTTATGTAGTAGCAAAACTCAACGAAAGTTTCTTGAAATTGGAGAATTATAGTAAAATTTGGAAATTAACATAGTTTGACATAATGCCTTTAGTTGTATACAAACTACAAACGATGCAATTGATTGTAGTAAATTCAATTTTTGTAGTACTAATAATTAGCCAGAAAAAGTAAACAATTGTGCGCAATGTAATAAAGAATAAAAATATTGTTTTAACAAATGTCTAAAAATCTTCAAAATCGTTTGTAGTTTTATGTAGTAGCAAAAAAAACACAACGAAAGTTTCTTTAAATTAGAGAATTATAGTAAAATTTGGAAATTAACATAGTTTGACATAATGTCTTTAGTTGTATATAAATTACAAACGATGCAATTGATTGTAGTAAATTCAATTTTTTTGTAGTACTAATAATCAGCCAGAAAAAAAGTAAACAATTGTGCGCAATGTAATAAAGAATAAAAATATTGTTTTAACAAATGTCTAAAATCTTCAAAATCGTTTGTAGTTTTATGTAGTAGCAAAAAAACTCAACAAAAGTTTCTTTAAATTAGAGAATTATAGTAAAATTTGGAAATTAACATAGTTTGACATAATGTCTTTAGTTGTATATCAACTACAAACGATGCAATTGATTATAGTAAATTCAATTTTTTTGTAGTACTAATAATTAGCCAGAAAAAGTAAACAATTGTGCGCAATGTAATAAAGAATAAAAATATTGTTTTAACAAATGTCTAAAAATCTTCAAAATCGTTTGTAGTTTTATGTAGTAGCAAAAAACTCAACAAAAGTTTCTTTAAATTAGAGAATTATAGTAAAATTTGGAAATTAACATAGTTTGACATAATGTCTTTAGTTGTATATAAACTACAAACGATGCAATTGATTGTAGTAAATTCAATTTTTTTGTAGTACTAATAATTAGCAAGAAAAAGTAAACAATTGTGCGCAATGTAATAAAGAATAAAAATATTGTTTTAACAAATGTCTAAAAATCTTCAAAATCGTTTGTAGTTTTATGTAGTAGCAAAAAACTCAACAAAAGTTTCTTTAAATTAAGAGAATTATAGTAAAATTTGGAAATTAACATAGTTTGACATAATGTCTTTAGTTGTATATAAACTACAAACGATGCAATTGATTGTAGTAAATTCAATTTTTTGTAGTACTAATAATTAGCAAGTAAAGTAAACAATTGTGCGCAATGTAATAAAGAATAAAAATATTGTTTTAACAAATGTCTAAAAATCTTCAAAATCGTTTGTAGTTTTTATGTAGTAGCAAAAACTCAACGAAAGTTTCTTGAAATTAGAGAATTATAGTAAAATTTGGAAATTAACATAGTTTGACATAATGTCTTTAGTTGTATACAAACTACAAACGATTTTGAAGGTTTTTAGACCTTTGTTAAAACAATATTTTTCTCTTTATTACATTGCGCACAATTGTTTACTTTTTCTGGCTAATTACTAGTACTACAAAAAATTGAATTTACTACAATCAATTGCATCGCTTTTTAGTTTGGGTACAACTAAAGACATTATGTCAAACTATGTTAATTTTCATATTTTACTATAATTCACTAATTCCAAGGATCTTTTATTGAATTTTTATGCTACTACATAAAACTACAAACGATTTGGAAGGTTTTAGACCTTTGTTAAAACAATATTTTTCTCTTTGTTACATTGCGCACAATTGCTTACTTTTTCTGGTTAATTATTAGTACTACAAAAAATTGAATTTACTACAATCAATTGCATCGTTTGTAGTTAATAATAAGCCAAAATCGAAAACTTTACTTGAAAGCGGGTTCCAACGTGACTCAGCTACTGGGCAAGTGTCTAAATCGACTCTTACTCACGAGATATCCGATCTCATCCGGCCTCAAACCGGTGTGAATGAGCAGTGTGTGTCAATAGATTTTACACTTTTGCCTTTTTTTGGACAACAGCACGATACAGAGTTTCGAACCGGCCACCCGTCCATCCACTAGTATTGCCTTACGTCGCTTAACTTCGGTGTTCTAATGGGAACCGGTGTTTCGACGTAGCTGGGCCGTTGCCTACAACTCTTTTTATACTATTTAGAACGTTTGAAACTTAAAATTATTTGCGGCGTTTGAAAAAAAAATAGCCTGTTCCCTGTTCTATTCGTGAGTGGGCAACGCTGTGCCAGTCAAGCTTGTATTTATATTTATTTTTGTTTCATACTTCTTAGTTTTTTAGTTTTTTAGTTTTTAGTTGTTAATTTTTTAAGTTAAACCGGTCCGCGTACAGAGCTCTGTCTCTCTGCGGTTTATCATGTATTTCTACATTGTAAATTAACTGGTATTAATAAATAAATAAATAAATAAATAAATAAAATAATGACCTCAATTGTAACTATTTTTAATTAAAAGGTTAGAGTAAGGCTTACCCTGGCATAGGCTCGGTTACATCATCTTTAGCTGGCATGACCAGTACGTTGTTTTTTCCGAAAAGTAGTGCAGCTCTCGAATTTTGGTGCAAACTCTCCACGTAATCTTTAGCCAAGTGCTGAGTTGTGCTTCTCGATACAAAGGTATCTTCTGAAGATGTGTTTAGCGATCTTCGAAAGTTTAATATGGGCCTTCGTACTGATGGCGGTGTAGAATGACCACTTGAAATTCGGTGCCTTTGAACCTGAAAACAAAATTACATATTTTAATTTTAGTCAATTAACACATGAAAGATTACTGAGTTGTATTAGATTGACATACCCCAGATAATCCAAACATAATACTTATATTTTTTTTAAATAAGCATAAAAAATTTAAAATACTAAAGGTTTATAATTTGTAAATATTTAAAAACATGGTGTGCATTACATATAAGTAATATACAGGGTGAGTCTCAAATAAGTGCAAATATTTTCAGGGCTGGTAGATCTTGATAAAAGAAACATATTTTTTCTTTACCATTTTCAAGTCCAAAATAACCGAGTTATTTTACTTTGAAAATTATAACAAAAAAAATTCCAAAAAAAATTAATTTTTGCTTAAATTTTGAGAACCACTGGATCTTTTCTGGGTTTTCTTTCTTGTAAATTTAACCTACTACCTATGTTGACATATTAACAAGAAATCGTGTTTTTTAACTAAGAATTAAAACAATTTCCAAAAAAAAATTCAAATTTGTAAAATATTTTTTTTTTGTGTTTCTGATGTCGAAATATACTAACCCTGAAAATATTAGCACTTAGTTAATACTCACCCAGTATATTTAGTATATATTCGTTATATGCTTTATATATCGTATTTATAATTACATATTTAAAATGTTAATACTCTCTATATCTGTTTTTTTTTCTTAAATCTTTTAACCATTCTTAATTATGAAATGGCGTTAGCAGGTTTGGGACTAGGAATTAACCAAATTTTGGTTTGCAAACGCCATTTCATTTATAAGGACGCAAATCTATAACATTCTCAATTATCTTAATCACCAAACGGAATTGGCTTGTGTTGTAAAAATATATGTGATCATTGATATATGATTTACTGAATTAAGTTATTTACATAATAGTATTACGGTTTACCATAACTTTTCTGTACCTGATACACGTTTTATATTTTTAAAATATTTAACTTCAACTAAAAGATGTAAGATAGATAACAAATATATTATATAATATATTTGTAATCTACGGGTACATTTTGTATTGATGCTATAGATTATTTCGATTAATAAAATTATTATAGTAATAATAGCTCCCGTATATAGAGTTTAACGCCTTGGGAGTAGCAAGGTACAGTTTGCCATGCTAGAGCCGTTTGGTATATAACGAAGGTAATGTGGCTAGCACTACGCTTCAACCGCCTATTATTACCTCAGGATAGTAAATCCCAAGTACTCATTTAAGGCTGAGTCGACCTAGGTACCCAAACTATTTTTATTTTAATAAAAATAGTCGGCTGATGAAATGCCGGCTGTAGGATTCGAACCCACAATCTTTGAATTGGTAGACGAGAACTGTAATCTACGCCACGGGGCACCATAAAATCATTAAATATCTTTTCCTTAAATTTCATTGTTAACAATTCTATATACTAAATTACTCAAACACAGATATAAATAGCAAAGAAATTAGATATTATGATCATTACTATTTCAATACATGTACTGTGTCTTTATATATCTATAACTCAAAAGTAACATTTCTTCCAAAATTATTAGTAGAAATAATAGATGAGAATACCAATGAATGAATATTAACCAATACCAATACCAAACCAACAGCTAAAGAATCTGACTCAACTAAAAAATGGCAGTACATACTACTGACAAAAATATTTCTAGTTATTTGGGAGCAATATTCAAAAAGACGTTAATCCCAGTGGAAAATTATCAACCTAAAGATATATCACGAGGAAAACAATTAAAGGGTCAGAAGACCTTCAGTTAAAGGAGATTCCATCCTTATACCAATGAATGAATATTAACCAATACCAATACCAAACTAGCACGATACCAAAATACCAAACTACACACAATAAAGAATTGACTCAACTAAAAAATGACAGTACATACTACTGACAAAAATATTTCTAGTTATTTGGGAGCAATATTCAGAAAGACGTTAATTCCAGTAGAAAATTATCAACCTAAAGATAGGTATATCACGAGAGAAACCATTAAAGGGTCAGAAGACCTTCAGTTAAAGGAAATTTCATCCTTATAGACTGCAAATTATCATTTTTTGAATAGAAACTTTGGTTTAATGATAATTACAAAAAATTTTCGTAGAGGCTTATAAAATCTTGAATTATTGATTTTATATTAGTTAGCAGCTATACCGGGTGCGTCTCAAAAGTGGCTCACCCCTATAACTTTTTTATTTTTTCCGATAAATAAACGAGATTTTGTATGCTAGTATATGACATAAATTAGGATTGATTGACGCATTCAATTGTTTTCGGTCACTTCCTGTTTCACCGGAAATGACTACAACTTTTGATTTTTAAATGGCACCCTCGGTATTTTTTTACTTTATTCGAGAGAAAATGACACTCTGAATTGAATGACATATCATATGTCAATTTTTGACATATTCGCCCAAAAACAAATTGTATTTTAAATTTCAATCTAGAGTGCCATAGCTGTGTTAAAAACACTAATTTTTAATCAAGCAGCCTTGGAAAAATAGATTTGATCGTCTAATCTTTTTAGTGTCTTGTTCTCTGACCGGTTAAAAGATGCCTAAATCGTATTTTTAATCATATCTCAATTTTTTCAAATGGAACAAGGGTGGCTCATTAGCATATTTGGAAAAAGCATTTTTTTACGAATAATTTGATACCACACACTTGGTTTTTTGAGCAGATTACAATTTCAAATAAACCATATGCGAAAATGTCAAAAGTTGACATATGGTATGTCATTCTATTCAGAGTGTCATTTTCTATCAAGCGCTTGTAAAAAACCGAGGGTGATTTTTGGAAATCAATTGAGTCATTTCCGGTGAAACCGGAAGTGACCGAAAACAATTGAATATGTCAATCAATCCCAATTGATGTCATATTCTAACATACCAAATCTCGTTGTTTTATCTGAAAAAATAAAAAAGTTATAGGGGGTGAGCCACTTTTGAGACGCACCCGGTAGAGTGTCTTAAAACTGACAGCGCTTTCAGATGAAGCGGAGCGTCCGCGACGGAGCGTTCGCAACTTCGAGCAAGTACCATGAGTTTATATGAACAATTTCACATGGGCGCGTATACTCCGTCCGACGGAGTTTGTCTGACGGCTATCTTTAACAGCGCTTTCACATGCGACGGACTGTCCGCGACGGAGCGTCCGTGACCTCGAGTAAGTACCATGAGTTTATATGAACAATATCACATGGGCGCGTATGCTTCGTCCGACGGAGTTTGTTCGACGGCTATCTTGAAAAAACACGACGGACGGTCCGTCGCATGTGAAAACGGTGTAAAAAATCCGACGGACGGTCCGTCGCATGTGAAAGCGCTGTGAATGTTTTGAATTTAAAGAAATATGTTTATTGTTTTAGATAGGCAGGGTCATCCCAGTATGAAAATGAAATATTACATTTAAATATTCTTTATTATGGTAACACAACAAAAACAAAAAAAAAATCAAAAAGCTCTCTATTAAAAATCTTCTAAATAAAATTTACTACATTTATATAAAAAGATCCTTGTTTTAATTTTCTTTAAAAATATTTTAAACTCAATTTAAATTTTTAGAATGGAATGAAACTTTATCGCTGTCCTAGTTAGACATTAACTTTAATTCCAGCAATTGAGTTTAAAACAAACTTTAATTAAACAATTTGCTCGGCTACTTTTTGTTCACATTGTTTCAATCAAGAATAATTTATTAATTCTCAACTTTATATTGTTAATTTTTAAAAACAATGCTTTAAAATTATCTAGTAATACTTAGCTAAAATATATTTTATGTAAACGGTTGTGCATGATTCCAGCAAATGTATTTTATATGCACTCAGATGCAAAAAAACTAACAGACATTTTTTCGTCAAGTTTAAAGCGTTATATATTTTTTTTTACTTTGAGCTTTATTTTCATGATTTTTTTTAGCAAACTATATATAAATATATCAACTTTAATTGATAAACTCAGTTTTTTATAAACTTTAGTATTTAGCTTATTTTACAGGCTTAATTGAGGGGTTGTTGTTTATCCTAACTTTAAAACGCCCTGTGCAATAATTTCGTGAGTAAATTTTCCTAAAACACTATTTTTCGGTCGAAACCATGTCTCCTGAGCATTTTGTTTTTGAAATGAACTTGCCACTAAAAATTTGCAATTTTTTCAACTATCATTAATTTGTGATGTTATTGATGACTATTGATAGAATGTCATATCGAGTTCTAATCAGTGAACTCTATAATAAATTTTAAAAAATGTTAAAAAGTGATGTTACAGGCTTGGTTTTAATAAATATTAGTAACACTAACAAAACTAAGGGTATTAAAAAAATAATAAGCTAGTGTACAAACAAACAAAAAACTTGTAAAAAATACTCTAAGCCCACGGCCACACAGAAAGCGTTTTTTGCGTTTTTAGCGTGAAGCGTCTTTAGCGACTAAAACAAAATATCAGGGTTATATAGGAGTGGCCACACCAGCGTGTAGCGTTCGGCGTGTCTCGCAAAAAACGCAAATGAAAACAAATCAGTTTGTTTTCTGTAGCGTCTTTAGCGTTTTCTAAGATCAGACCCCGTCATAGGCGGACGTTATCTAGACTAACATATAAAATCCTTAAGTGGCTGACTCTACAACATAAAAAAATTATACACATATAAACTAAAATTCGTAAAATAAATGGCAAATAATAATTATTATTTTTACACACACCACTAGCACTAGCAGTAGATTGTGTTTGTCTCCGAATATATGCCCCGGCCCGTCCACAATTCAATCCCAGCATCTTTTATCTTCGTCTCTTCAACGCTAACGGCGCCGATCTCGCCTATCTCTTTCTCACAGGATTGATTGTTGGACGGGCCGAGAATCCACGAGCTTGCGATGTTACTAATTGACATCTTGATAGAAACTGCAGACCTGCCGCGTCTTTTGCATGTTGTTAATGGTCACAAATCGAAAAAAGCGTTTAAAACGGTAAAATCGCAAAAAGAGCTTGAGACGCAAAAAACGCTTTC